CCCTGTCTATAGAGAAATAAAGATGACTTAAAGCACCTACTAGAGCCATTATTAATACATTTAGAAGATAATTGGGGAAAGTAATCCCTTAATGCTTTGCAAATACAAATCTGTCACTTGTTGTTCAATTTGAGTGCAAAGACTCCCATATAAGGGAGCTGATTATGTAAATAGTGATGAAGGAAGCTCACTAGGTTTTGGAATGCAGTTTGTTTAATCTCGGAGGGCATGAAACCAAATATTAGCTCTTAAACGCTGTCCATAATAGTAATCAATTGGAAAAATCTCAAAGCTGATGGATTGGGGTGGAGGCAATGACCATCCCCATCACAACTGATACACGCAAAGCCGAATTCAGACATCTAATCCTCCTCCATAAATCCTTAGGACCAGCATGTACCACATGCCAAGCCAATGCCAGTGGCTCCTGCTAAAATCTGCGTAGATGGAAGGGAAAAAAAGATCACATCTAATCCCAACATTTGTTTTCATCTGATAGAGTGAAGGATCAGGCCTAAAAGATCAAGAACTGTGACATAACATGGCTTTCTCTGAAGCATCTAGATCAAAGTGCATTTCAGCAGATTTTTACTGGGTATCTTATGTTATGACAAGAGGGTAAAGAGAAAGCTGTAGTGTAACCTTAGTTTACATTTGGTTAACTATAAATCGTGTAACCATGAAGGTGACTAGTTTAGTACACAAAGTGAATAAGATGCAACGAACTTAACCCCAGGTTACACTTACAAAAGACTGTCCCTAAACAGCAATTGGATAAAAGAGAGTACTAAATGACTACTTACCAATTGGCCTGTCACAATAATCAATATAGCGACGTATGCAATACTTCAAGATGACCTCAAACATTTTTGCCTTTGCAATATATATTTACAAGTTCACAAATTACATTAAAGCCATTTTACAATAGCTATATTTCCATCCAACTATTTTTATTCGCACTTTGGATATTAAAAAATTATGCGCATAACTGAGTAGGATAAACGTTTTATTCGATAAGAAAAGATGTGCATAAACTACGATGGAAACACTTACCGCACAAACTCCAGCATGTGCATTAAAAAGGTCATGTGACTTTCTTATAGGAGATCAAGCGATGATAAAAAAAAATGTGTGTGAATGGATAAACCAGCAGGATGAGCACATTATAAAACATCTGAAATGTTGTTTTGGTCATTCTAAAACACCGTAACCGTTTCAGCATTAGTGTTATTATATTATTAATGACCTGCAGAATCAAGATCGCATGTGCTCCGCGTCTGACATCTTCTAACGCCACCGCGCGTTCACTACGAGTCAGGATTGCCTTCTGAGGCGCAGTCGTTTTTTAAATGAAGAAAAGATTGATGCAGCTTCTCCTACTGCAGCAAATTCAGTTTTTACTTTTGATATTTGCTGCCAGTTAATCAGGAAGAAGTGACGATTTTGTTCGCTTTGACTCGTAGGATGGAAACGAAGCTTTTTTCGCATATCTTTTATGCGATAATCCAGTTTTGCGCATAAAATTCATTTGCATTTTTGGATGGAAACATAGCTAGTGACATTTACACTCTACCTCTCCGATGTCAAAGTTTCTAATTGGACATTAACCTAATAGGACATTTAATAGTGTATAAAATAGGACACCTTTTTAACATCAAATTATAGAATCTAAATAACCTTAAGAGTGCCAAGTATTTTAAAGTATTTATGGCTATTTGCATTATTGGCATAAAATGATCTCAAAATGACAATAATATAGCTTATCGCTCAACAAAAATTTCATATTGTGACAGGCCTACTTACTAAACCACTGGATTAGGACTTAAAGTTAAACAGTTCACTAAAAAATGAGCCTTTGCCCAGAAGCTAAACTTGCTAGTTGTTTAGTAGAATTTGTTTATCTGAAAGCATGGCCCTTGCCGATTGATAAAGCCCAAGTGAAAAGCTACTTTCACTTTGAAAATGAAAATGGGAAGACCATATAAAGGACACACTAAAATAATACATCTGGATTCAAATCCAAGCAAATTATCCCTTTAAATTTGAGAGCAAGATTTGAATTGAAGCACAACCAACATAAATGTTCATTACCACAAAATGTTTCTCCAACTGATCTCTCCTTTACTTCAAAGACGACAAAAATACTGAGATTATGGTGAAGTTAAAATTAAGGTGAGCGGGGAAAATTTTCAGATTTAAAAATCAGAAACGCGTTAATATATTGGTGTATTATTTGCACTTTTGTGTATATTTGGGGTTTGTAAAGTAGCTCGAAGACAAGTTTACAAAGAAAAGCTTATTCTGCACCCAAACGTGCATATGATTCATCCTAAATAGCATTTGAAAATAGAATTAATGTCATAAATAAAGTTGCACGATATTGAAAAAAATCTAACATTGCAATATTTTGTTATTCTGCTATTTTACGATATGAATACAATTACACCAGATGACTTGAATATCTCTATTTGGAAAGAGTTTATAATTTCAGTTTGATTGATGGTTCTGTATGGAAGTGCATCTGCATAATATCTAATAAACAAATTCAAAGCACAGATAAATATATTAAATAAAAGCTACAACTGAAACTATTTTGTCATTTTCTGAGTCTAACAGTAAGTTAATACTAAAAACAATAAAAAAAAAATAATCCTTAAAGGTAAAATTTTGTATGCTTGAATGCTTTTAAAATCCTCATACAGTCAAAGGCCTCAAAAACACATGAAAATGTCAAATTATTTACAATACAAATTCAGTATTGCAAATTCTGCAATGTGACTATTGCCAATAATCACATTGCAATGCAGATGTTGAAACAATAGATTGTGCAGCCCAAGTTTCAAATCACAGTATGTTGAAATGCATTTCAAAGTGACCCAGATGGTTTACCGTTTCTGGTAGAAATTTGAAGTGCAGATGCGTGCCATGCTCTTAACAGCTAATATTGGTCACAAAACATTGCACATTGGATATGAATTTGATTAGAACTACAAACATGATTAAAACTTAAACTACAAACATGCCAGACATGAGAAACCCAGGGGGTAAGGGGAGATGCTATGGTAATGAAGTGTTTGAATGACTGTTAACTAATATAATCTAACCTAACCAAAATTATTTACTTCACTTCACTTTCACCACATTACATTTAATCAGCGTCAACACGGTGATTATTCCGGAACAGGAGAATGACAGAATAACCATTATTATCCAGATTACATATGTATATGAAATATTTTTATCAGAAATGTGGATGATGTGGCAAGATGATTGACAGGGCATGTAACTAAACAACACTACAGTCCAATAATTAGGAAACATACAGTAGTTAACATTTAAAGTGGATCAAAATCTTTCATGAAAGTTGTCCTAGAAAGATTTAATTAGGGGTTCAAGCGCGAAGTGCTGAAACCCTATTGTTAAGATTTTTATAATTATTATTTTAAAATAATTTTCTGTAGAATTATGTATCTGTCAGACCAAACCATAAAGCCTAGAGAGCTGAAACTTGGTCAAATATTAGCACACTACATCCTTGCCAAAAATAAGCCAAATTGGCCCAACAAAATAAACATTTACACAGTGTAAATTTTCTCTGCGATGCACCAGTTTTCTGCTTTATCATTTGATTTGTCCGAAACTTATTTTTGTGAACTAGTCCTAGGTTTTTCGCCTGATCAGAACCAAACAAGTTCCTATTCTTGTTTTAGGACAACTTTGAATCCACTTTAAATGTTGACTACTATATGTCCCAACATCCAAACTTGCATACTCTCCTGTTACAGACTCAAAACCACTTTTTCTTCATCAAAAAATACATACTTTTAACATATACTATAAGTAGGCGAATTACGTAGCATTAGTGTTTTTTCCTACTCACCAAAATCAATTCAAAAGTATTTTTGAAACGATGAGATTTTTTTTCCTTATTTACAAACTCATTCCATTCACTTCCTTTACAAGCTTCTCTGTGCAGAGCACTCATAATATAGACATACAGATAGGCATGGGCCAGTATAAGATTCTGACGGTGTGATGGCCTTGGATAGAAATATCCCGGTATTGTGCTCACTGCTCTATAATATATTCTTTTTAAATGTCTGGGTAAAAAAAAAAACTAAAAAATTCCCCTCTGAACACAATATAATTTATTTTTTGAAATATTTATGATATTTTGGAACAGTAAACATGTCAGACTATATATGAATCATTGACTTCTGCTGTCATTATTTGTTTCAAAAACACATTTCTTTACAATTTAAAATGGTATCTTTGAATATTTTTTCTGCTGGAGATACTGTTGTCCTAAAAAACAAAAACAAAAAAAAAATGTAAACAAAAATAAAATCTTACCCATACCTTAGAAACAGTATTACAGAAATTTTGGCCAGTTTTAAACCTTGACTTTTTCAAACCGCGATATACCTTGAAAACCTTTTTTGTCCCCTGCCTACATACATATAAATATTATAAAAGCAGGGACGATTGAAAAGCTGTATAACATTATTTGTGGTAATCAGCTATGCACAGCAAATCTACTGGACCTGGAATATTCCTTCAACCTCTGTGAACTGCTGATCCTCACAGAGGCCCGAAGCCAAGAACAGCATGTAGTCCCAAGAGACACTCTTGGTCCACATTAAAACACTAGACAGGTGAGTCAAAGTCAAAAATAAAAGACAGCAGACACATGGCTAAAGTTGCACGTAACATACCCCATTGAGCTTGTGGTCAAAGTAGCTTTTATTTAAAATAAGCACACATGGTTTTACCTTACAGAGACGGCAAAAAATGTGCTGATGACTAAGTAAGGGCTGAATGAGAGCTTTTCTAGCTGTAGTTTAAACTCCCATCACAAACAAGGGAAAGTCAGCACAAAAGACAGCCCAAAATATCCACTGTAAGGGTGTGAGCGTAGATTCCATAGCTTTATTTAATTTGCTGTGGCATACTGCACATTCTTCAAGAGGAACAACAAATCGAGCAGGTCTTTCACTTACCTTCAGCTTTTTGTTGAGTTTACAGCAGTATCTGTACAGCATAGCAAGGTTGAGGGGTCCAAAATCAGCATAAAAGCTATAATAGAGGAAAAAAAAAATGAATAAAGAGAAAAGCATTCATTCACACAATACTGAGAGGCAGATTACAGCTTAGGCTAACAAGTCAATGCAGATGTTAAACTAATTTCTTGCGTCTTTTGGATTATATTTTGTTAACCTTTATTTTGATGGTCCGTTTGTTGAATTTAAGATGCATTGCATCTACATGCCAACTAATTCTCAATAGATTATAAGTAGACTGTTAGGTTGGGGTTAGGGTTGTGGTGGGGGTTAGTGTAAGTTGACATGTACTTGCAAAGTTTCATTCAGTCAGTTAAATGTCTGTTGAAGGAACAGTATCAACAGATATTACGCAGACAGTCTACTAATCCTCAAATGGACCATCAACACAAAGAGTTACTTTATATTCAATTCATGTCAAGTTTACTTGTATGGCTTCTTTTACAATAATTATATTTTCAAAGCAGCTTTACAAAAGGTGCCCATTATTGCATTACAATAATGCAATATTTTAGAAATATTATTAAACATGGTCTGGATACTAAAAATCATGTAGTCCATTTACATAGAAAATTAATGCAGTATAAATCTGACGACTCTTATCATATCAAAAGAAATTGGAAATTAGAGTTAAACTCTATAATAGAGGATGAAATATGGGAAGAGATATGCATGAATTGTCATAAGGGTAGAAGCAGTCAAATGTTGAATGAGTTTGACTGGAAGATGAAGTTCTTCAGAGTTCCACTGATGGTCCCCAAATTCGATAGTTCTTTACAATTATTACAATGCTGGAGAGATTGTACAGAAGTGGAATGCAACGTTCACATATTTTGGGAATGTCCCAAAATACAAGTGTATTGACTGGAGGTTAAAAGGAAGATTAAGAAAGTTTAAGGATATGACATACCAATGCACTAGTATTTTTTTTTACCCATTAACCAAAATATGTTATATTTCAGGAAACATTTATAATATTTTGGAACAGTAAACATGTCAGGTTAAATAATTTAATCATTGACTTCAGCCATCTTTATTAGTTTCAAGAACACAGATTTCCTTACATTACATGGAGAAAAACACTTTAGAAAAATAAATAAATAAATAAATTTACCATAGAAATGGTATATCATGAATTTTTGCGGTTTTAAAAACAGCTGTAAACCTTGAAACCGGTTATCCTTCCATGCCTACTGCAGATTTGCAAATCAGACAAATCAGACATTTTCCAACAGACCTGGGCATTAGTCAAAACATACTTTAAAATGCTGTCAGGTGCTTTAATGTAGTTATTGCACTAATATTGGAGTTTATTTATTTATTTACTTTTCTTTTTTCCTTTCTTTTTTTTTAAATGTAATGTTTCGTCTTTTTAAGCTATAGTTTATTATGTTTTATCTATTTGTTTTTTTTGTGAATGTAAACATTCTAAGTAAATGTTATGTGTATACTATGTCTATAAAAAACACATTTAAAGATAAGTTAAAGTAGCAATCAAAAATAAGTTAAAGTTACAATAAAATATAAGTTATTATATACAGACATCAACCTGCAATCTCATAGCGTATAGGTGATGTATATGTGTACATGTTTAATGAAGTGTGTTTGTGTATCAGGTGTATGTGTTATTATACAAAAATATGGTCTGATGACTTTTTTTAGATATAAGCAACAACAAATAATTTTGTTATCCTTTTTCTACAAAAACGGAACATAATTCATTCCAGGAACTCATCCTGCACCAGTGTTATGTGTCAAAATATCTCTCAGAATGATGAGCAGCACATCAGTATTGTTTTTCACCCTCTTCTTCTTCCCACATCCGGAAATTCAAAATATATGATTGACAGTTCCATTATGGAAGGCTTTAATAAAGGAAGAGTTCGATTAAAGAGTTACGTAACAGACTTTGGAACTGATTCCCGCCTGATGGGGGCTTTGGCTCGGAAAGATGAGCCGGGAGGGCGGATAACTTACTTTTCGTACACAAACTCCTCATCTGTGCTGAAGTAATGCGTATTTGCTGTGCTTTTCGGCTTGCTTCGTAAGGTTGCAAAATACAGTCGATCTGGGGAAAAAACAAAAATGTATATTACACATCGTAGATGTAACAAACTGGTACAGTTATAAACTCTGAGAAGATGATAGTTTATCATCGGATTATTGACTTGGGATTAATCACCTGCAACAATAGTCCTATAATTTTTTGTCTATATATAGATATATATATATATATAGATATATATATATAAACACAAAACTATGTGGAAAGAAATTTTGTATGACTATAAAAGAAAAAACAGTAGGGGTTCAATCTTCAACTGGCTGGCAGGAACCGCCAGTGGCGGGTCACGTGACCTGCCACTGGCTGGTGGCAGCCGCCAGTGTCCAACTGTCGGGTAGCATGACCTGCCAGTGGCAGCCGCATTTTACCCGGCAGTTGACAACTGGCAGCCAGAGCCAGGTTGGAAGACATTAACAACTGGCTAGTGGGTCAGGTGTCCTACCAGGGGCTGCTTGGTAGCAGGGAACGTCTACCCAAGCAGCTCAGTTTCACAGTGCTTAAGCCCTCTGAGTGTGGCGTCTAATTAGCACTCTCTTTCTGGGGAATCAAATTATTAATTTATGAAATGTATAGTCTTCATGGTATTCTGGTTTACATACCTTATATTTGCAGCAAAAATATTCCAAACAAGGTTTTCAAATGACCCTTTAACAGACTGGTGGGATATTGACGCTAATCAACTTGTAGTCACCAGCCAGTTAGCTCAGAGTTTTACGCGTTTACTTTCTCTTTCTCTGCAGCTGTTTACATTGATTTACCATCATGAATATATTCTTCTAGACCCTTTCTATTATAAATTGGGCGTATTAGTCAGGTTCATTACAGATAAAGTGTTCAAAATTGCCATGATTACAACTGGCTGGTCACGCCCTCCCAGCTCCGCCTGTGCACTCGCGCTCGCGCTCAGATTTTGACGCTAGTCTTAGCACTCTCAATACAAGCAATCAATTTCATGTACAATTTTTTTTTATACCTTAAAGTCTATTGAGTTACATCAGTGATATTTTTAGCAAATTTATCACAGACAATATCAAACGACCCTTAAACAGACTGGTGGGTTATGGACGCTCAGCTTCAGTAGGTAGACAGCCAGCACGTGTAGGCGATTACTTTGCAGCTTTATGACAATGCATAGATAATTACCAACACATTGAATTACAATAAAAATAGCAGATTTACTCAATAAATGCATCGATAATATCCACTGATTTTTTATAGTCAATCTAATGAACTCATAAACAATAAAAAATGCAACAAATATTTTTTTGGGCCCAAACTACAAAACAAAATTTATAACATATTTTAGTATCAGTTTTGCTTAAGTTGCACACTAGTTTGATAATGTATAAATATCCCTATATATAAATCATGCTAAAAAGCAAATAGGTTTGGCTACATGATACCAGGGGCTTCTGAGTCCATATGAAAATACATGAATAACACCGATCTTGAAAAGCATACACTTATTTATAATCTAGTGCAATAAATATTGTAGTTTACTGAAACAGCACGAAGAAAAGTTGCCGAGGTATTTGGTGTACATAAATATTGTGTATGCGGTGTCAGGCATCATTAAGCCGATTACTATTCTTTGGGGTCTGTTTGTTTATATAAACATTTTGAACAAGAAAATTATCAGCCGCAATAAAACTAATGTCTCCCTTTGCCCTTTATTAGAAGTCTAGGTAAGTCAGATCAAAAAGTAATGTTGATTGATTTAATTATATTAGATTTAGAGCTTGTTATGTCAGTTTAATTTCCAACATTCCAACAGTATTTTTAAGTTATTAAATATACTAGGTTTTGCACTTTTGCCAAAATGTTTAATGGCTGTCAGAGGGATGAGTTATCATTTATAGGCATTAGTGCTACTAGCATAGATTGGCAAAATAGGTATCCAGCTTGTGATATTTTGAGCTGCTACATTGTCTGTTCTCATTTAAATAAACAACAACAAATGTTCAGTAATGAAATGAACGATAATGTTTAATAAATGAAAGCCTAAATCAACAATAAAAAATCCTAATAATACTGTAGTACAAAGATTATCAGAAAAGAACAGTCAACAGGTTCATATATATATATATATATATATATATATATATATATATATATATATATATATATATATATATATATATATATATATATATATATATATATATATATAAATCAAATTTGTGTAAATATATGTACAAGGGTCCACAATGGGTGTGTCTGACAATTGGTTTTAATAGAAATTATTTCAGACAGGGTGTTGTTGCAATTGTCATTTCAGCTTGGAATCTGTGGAAGTCCTCAGTTATTTTCAATATCAGAATGGTGATATAAACAGAATAAAACAGTGTCATTATAAAACAAAAATATTTGTGCATAAAAAGATCAGTTTTTATTGCATCAAACATAAAATACCTCATTTAGTGCTTGATATGTCCTCTTTTTTCAGTGATAGTACACTGTAAACTTTGTCAATGATCCCCTCTGTCTATAAAAAAAAAAAAAAACAATCCAGAGATTTAACTTAGTACTGTATGAGACATTCAGTATGTGACATTACATTATTTTCCCATATTAATTATTATTTTGTTAAGATATGTTAACAATTGTTATTATGTTAACCATTTTCTGAAGCTATAATTTTAATTCAATTTAATACTTAATTAAAATTTGAATAATAATTTAATTGTAATGTTTTTTTCTTATTATTCTTCCAAAATATTCCTACTTTACCTGTTCTTCATTAAAATAGGAAATCCGCAAGTTGCATTGTTTTTTTAATTTTGGGGCATATGCGGGATGGAGGTGTAAAAACATACGGTGGGATTTTAAAGCACCAGATGTGTGGTCTTGATCGAGCTTCTACAAAATAAAAAGTATTTTACAGTTAAATATTACTTTTCATTTAGTAAGCTCTGAAACTGTATCCTGATAAGAATTCTTATATAATTATGCTAATTTTCTGTTGCCTCATTATTTAAAGTATTTATAACAGTTACCACAATTTATTCGTCCCTCACAACGGAATCAACCAAAAGCCCCTGCTTCAAAGCCTCCCGAGTCCTGTAACAAAAAGTTGTCATATGCATCAAAAGTAGTAAAAACAAGCTTTTGTTTGTTTTATGTTTCTGTTTCTGCTTCTTACCGTTGACAAGAATATGATGGCTGATGACAACCACAACTGAAGGGTGTGTTTTCATCAATTTTTGCAGGGTCTATGCCAGCACAATCTTGTGTAACCATTTGTCACACCTGTCACATTGAACCCACTCTATGAGTTTAATTTGTGGGTAAAGAGTTCTAAAAAAAATTGTATTGTGAAGTCAAAGCTGCATTATTCACCTAGATCCAAACTCTAATGGAATTGTATAATTCTTACTTGTGTCCAAGGTTCTGATAAACACAGGCTTTTATATCTTGTGCCATGCAGTTATTGTCTAATTGAGTGTCCTCTCTTTCTTCAATTAGAATCGGGAAGTCCTGTCAATTATTACATAATATATTAATGTCGTATATTCTTTTTGTTAAATTTTATTGCAATCTTAACTGAAACTTTATCTATGTTTCTTAATTCAGTTGTCACATCTTTCAACATGTTTGTGGCATGGTAAATGCGCAGGTGTAACAACTGAAAAGGTCCCAGACTTTCAGATGACATTTTCATGTTTTTTATCTCCATTTCAGCTGCCTTTAAAAGGAAAAAATTAAGCTGTTCACAGATACAAATAATACATGTATATAGAAATCATTTTAAATATAAAGTCATCAGGAAAACTTACAGTGCAAACAAATACACCACAATTCACACCATCACACTGCAACAATTGTTTTGGATAGCTAATAGTCCAGCCATCCAGAGATCCAAGTTCTTGTAAACCCTCCCTGTATACATTTTGCATAAAGTAAGGGAAAATTAAATGTATCTTTCACATACCATAATTATAACCAATAGAATGCTTTTAAAAATCACAAAGCACAAAGTCAATATACAGATGCAAAAAAATTACCTCAAAATCTCCATATCACTTTCATCTATAGTGGTGTAGATGCCCGTTGAATCATAAATCCTCAACTGTTTTGCTTGTACATCAAAAACCTGGGAAAAAATGTATCATAAATGAGCAAGTTAATGCAATAAAGCAATAATTAATTGATTGCAACCATTACCCAAAGTATGAAGTGGTTTCCCATTTCAGGTGTTTTTCCACCAACAATTCTTGGAAACAGGATCTTTTCAGCGCCCTGAAAAGGAACATCGGATAATATGCTTTTTCACTTACATAAAATACATTTGAATTACAGAATAATTAATCAAATATTATACAATATTATCCACATTTTCTTTAATCCATAGACTATAACTTTCCATAATTTACACCATTACAAAAAATGGCATACATTAAAAATACTTACATGATAAAAGTGTTCATTAAAAGCCTGTTAATTTATAAAGGGATCAGTACTTTTGTCTCTCTTCGTATATGCATGTGTTTTGTAATATATATATATATATATATATATATATGTGTGTGTGTGTTTGTGTGTGTGTGTGTGTGTGTGTGTGTGTATTCATATATATTGTTATATTGTTAGGAAATAGGAATAAACTCTTTATTATTTTTGTCTTCTCTTTTTCCTCTTCATTAAACAATTATTTCGATTCTTTTAGTCGAATTTTTAATTTGTATCCAATAAATTGTTTTGATTTTTGACATTTAAAAAAACCTATATATATATATATATATATATATATATATATATATATATATATATATATATATATAGAGAGAGAGAGAGAGAGAGAGAGAGAGAGAGAGAGAGAGAGAGAGAGATAGATAGATAGATAGATAGATAGATAGATAGATAGATAGATAGATAGATAGATAGATAGATAGATAGATAGATAGATAGATAGATAGATATACAGTTGAAGTCAGAATTATTAGCCCCCCTGTTTATTGTTTTCCCCAATTTCTGTTTAACGGAGAGAATTTTTTCTTCAACACATTTATGCACATAATAGTTTTAGTAACTCATTTCTAATAACTGATTTATTTTATCTTTGCCATGATGACAGTAAATAATATTTTATATTCTTCAAGACATTTCATACAGCTTAAAGTGATATTTAAAGGCCTAACTGGGTTAATTAGGTTAACTACGCAGGTTAGGGTAATTAGGCAAGTTATAATGGTTAGTTTTGTAGACTACTGAAATTTTTTTTAAAGGGGCTAATCATTTTGTCTTTAAAATAGTGTTTAAAAAATTAATAACTGCTTTTATCTAGCCAAAATAAATAAAATAAGACTTTCTCCAGAAGAAAAAATATTATCAGACATACTGTGAAAATTCCCTTGCTCTGTTAAACATCATTTGAGAAATATTTAAAAAAAGAAAAAAAATTAATAATTAATTAATAAATCTGACTTCTACTGTATATATATGATGCAAATTTTAGTATGATAATCCAACACCCAATTGATTCAAATAAACAAGCCCCGTTGTAAAGAAAATATCTGTAAAAACATCTGTACCTTGTTTTTTTCATTTATGGGGAACCATGCCACTGTGAAAGTCTTCTGACCTTCCTCAACAATATCTGGTTCAGCCTTCAGCTCAGTCAAAGATTATGCTGATGTTCGTTGGTAGACCTCTGTAATTTGATATCATGTTAATAACACCAAACCACAAGTGTAAGTTTGAAACATTAGTAAATCTGTATTAACTACCTTTGTCTGCTTCCTTTTCCACACCTAATAACAGATGTCCATGTCGCCCTAGATACACATCTTTGTTGGACATTCTTTGAATGTCTTCCAAGAATTTGTTGTTGATCCTTTGGTTATGTAGATGGAAATATAGTCGTAAGGCGAACAGGTAAGGAACACCCTTTAACTGGCAGAGGAAGTACCTGCTGGATTTATGCTCCTCAGTCTCTCCTCTGGTCTTTTTTGTTTTTTCTCATGAAAACGGTCATAGAGGGAGTAGCGGTATATATATATATATGTATATGTGTGTGTGTGTGTGTGTGTGTGTGTGTGTGTGTGTGTGTGTGTGTGTGTGTGTGTGTGTATTAATATCTAAAATAAATTTGACCAAACTCCAAGCACTAGTGCGCTGGTGGAGCTCCATTGGGAGGGCGTGACCAGCCAGTTGTAATAATGGCAATTTTGAGCACTTTATCTGTAATGAACCTGACTAATATGCCCAATTTATAGTAGAAAAGGTCCTGAAGATTATATTCATGATGGTAAATCAATATTTAAGGCTGCAGAGAAAAAGAAAGTGAACGCGTTAAACTCTGAGCTAACTGGCTGGTGACGCAGAGTGCTGCAAACCCACCGGTCAGTTTAAGGGCTGTTTGAAGCGTTTCTTTGGGGAAACACTGCTGTAAATGTCTAAACAAGTGTACACAAAAGAATAAACATTTCATGAATTAAAGATGTAATTCCTCTGGAAGAGAGCGCAAGGACGCGCCAGACTAAGATAGTGATCGCGCTTACGCATTACCAGCGCGTGCGGTGGTGGAGCTGGGCGTGACCAGCCAGTTGTAATCATGGCAATTTTGAGCACTGTATCTGGAATAAACCTGACTAATATGCCCAATTTATAATAGAAAGGGTCTAGAAGAATATATTCATGATGGTAAATCAATGTAAACAGCTGCAGAGAAAGAGAAAGTGAACGCGTAAAACTCTCAGCTAACTGGCTGGTGACGCAGAGTGTTGCAAACCCACCGCTCAGTTTAAGGGTTGTTTGAAGCGTTTCTTTGAGGAAACACAGCTGCAAATGTCTAAACAAGTGTACACAAAAGAATACACATTTCATGAATTAAAAATATAATATCTATGGAAGAGAGCGCGAGGACACGCGCCAGACTAAGATAGTGATCGCGCTTACGCATTACCAGCGCGTGCGGTGGTGGAGCTGGGCGTGACCAGCCAGTTGTAATCATGGCAATTTTGAGCACTGTATCTGGAATAAACCTGACTAATATGCCCAATTTATAATAGAAAGGGTCTAGAAGAATATATTCATGATGGTAAATCAATGTAAACAGCTGCAGAGAAAGAGAAAGTGAACGCGTAAAACTCTCAGCTAACTGGCTGGTGACGCAGAGTGTTGCAAACCCACCGGTCAGTTTAAGGGCTGTTTGAAGCGTTTCTTTGGGGAAACACTGCTGTAAATGTCTAAACAAGTGTACACAAAAGAATACACATTTCATGAATTAAAAATGTAATTCCTCTGGATGAGAGCGCGAGGACACGCGCCAGACAGTGATCGCGCTTACAGGGGGAAGCATAACCAGCGCGTGCGCTGGTGAAGGTGCCATGAGGAGGGCGTGACCAGCCAGTTGTAATCAAGGCACTTTTGAGCACTTTATCTGTTATGAACCTGACTAATATACCCAATTTATAATAGAAAGGGTCCAGAAGATTATATTCATGATGGTAAATCAATATATAAAGCTGCAGAGAAAGAGAAAGCGATCGCGGTAAACTCTCAGCTAACTGGCTGGTGACGCAGAGTGCTGCAAACCCACCGGTCAGTTTAAGGGCTGTTTGAAGCGCTTCTTTAAAGAAACACTGCTATAACTGTCTAAACAAGTTTACACAAAAGAATACACATTTCATGAATAAAAATGTAATTCCTATAGATGAGAGCGCGAGGACACGCGCCCGACTAAGATAGTGATCGCGCTTACAGGGGTACGCATAACCAGCGCGTGCGCTGTTGGAGCTCCCATGAGGAGGGCGTGACCAGCCAGTTGTAATCATGGTAATTTTGAGCACTATATCCTGAATAAATCTGACTAATATGCCCAATTTATAATAGAAAGGGTCTAGAAGAATATATTCATGATGGTAAATCAATGTAAACAGCTACAGAGAAAGAGAAAGTGAACGCGTAAAACTCTCAGCTAACTGGCTGGTGAAGCAGAGTGCTGCAAACCCACCGGTCAGTTTAAGGGCTGTTTGAAGCGCTTCTTTGAGGAAACACTGCTATAAATGTCTAAACAAGTGTACACAAAAGAATACACATTTCATGAATTAAAGATGTAATTCCTCTGGAAGAGAGCGCAAGGACGCGCCAGACTAAGATAGTGATCGCGCTTACGCATTACCAGCGCGTGCGGTGGTGGAGCTGGGCGTGACCAGCCAGTTGTAATCATGGCAATTTTGAGCACTGTATCTGGAATAAACCTGACTAATATGCCCAATTTATAATAGAAAGGGTCTAGAAGATTATATTCATGATGGTAAATCAATGTAAACAGCTGCAGAGAAAGAGAAAGTAAACGCGTAAAACTCTGAGCTAACTGGCTGGTGACTACAAGTTGATTAGCGTCAATATCCCACCAGTCTGTTAAAGGGTCATTTGAAAACCTTGTTTGGAATATTTTTGCTGCAAATATAAGGTATGTAAACCAGAATACCATGAAGACTATACATTTCATAAATTAATAATTTGATTCCCCAGAAAGAGAGTGCTAATTAGACGCCACACTCAGAGGGCTTAAGCACTGTGAAACTGAGCTGCTTGGGTAGACGTTAGTACCAGCCAGTTGTATTGACAGCTATTTCAGTGCTGTGTCTGATTAACTAGTTTAATGTGCCCAATGCCTAAATGAAAAGCTCCATTATATTACTTTCAGAGAAATTGAAAGTAAGGGAAGCAAACTCAGACCTCCATATTTTGTAGATTTGAGCACACTTTATTTGTAATAAACATTCAGAAATTTCCCATCATTAAGAATAAATCTGTAAAAATGTTCATATTGTTTATTGTTAACACATTTGATGGAATGAAAGGTCATATGACCTACCAGTTGTCAACTGCCACCAAGCAGCCCCCTGGTAGGACGCCTGACCCACCAGCCAGTTGTTAATCTCCACCAAGCAGCCACTGGTAGGACACCTGACCCACCAGCCAGTAGTTAATTTCCACCAAGCAGCCACTGGTAGGACACCTGACCCACCAGCCAGTAGTTAATTTCCACCAAGCAGCCACTAATAGGACACCTGACCCACCAGCCAGTTGTTAATGTCTTCCAACCAGGCTCTGGCTGCCAGTTATCAACTGCCGGGTAAAATGTGGCTGCCACTGGCAGGTCATGCTACCTGACAGTTGGACACTGGCGGCTGCCACCAGCCAGTGGCAGGTCATGTGACCCGCCACTGGCGGTTCCTGCCAGCCAGTTGAAGATTGAACCCCGACTCAGAAAAAAGGTTGATAGATAGATAGATAGATAGATAGATAGATAGATAGATAGATAGATAGATAGATAGATAGATAGGAGACATAACTTATACATACAGACAGACAGACAGACAAATAAGCCATTAGGCATGTTTTTGCATAAAATAACAAAAAATGAAGCCATGTTTTTAAACATTTCACCACAATAAACCAACGTTAATGTTCACAAAAGAGTTAAAGAATCAACATTTGGTTAAAAAAACACATGACGTTCAATCATAGCAGATGAAAACATTTGTTATTAAGACCTTTTATCACCCTCTGAAGAGGAATTTAATGCAGAATTTTAAATGACTTGAGTAAAACATCAATAAAAACAGCACACACAACTCCGAGTTCAGCCGATGACTGCAACCCATCAGCCTGAGGAAACAACGAATCAAAGTTATCCAAACAAAAACTCCTCAGAAACTTGCACTCACCTTTGATAAACTCTGAAGCCCCTAATAAATCATTATCGTCAGCCATTTTAAATAACGTGGAGAGTATCGCGGAATGTTTTAAGTTGTCGAGAGTCATCGACGGAGGCGCAGCAACTCTTCAAACCAGAACAAACTACTACACAGCTTTAAAACCAGTTTCCTCTCTTCGGATGCAACTTCTCTCGGAACTGATGGCGCAAATAATTCCGAGTAGTTCAACAATTTAAAAGCCCACTGGGGTGTATAAATAAGGCACTGGTATCTCGTGGCATTCTCCCACGCGTGGATGAGGAGAAAAACAAATCTGTAACTTCCCAGGCTGTTAAAACAACTCAAGGTGCGTCATCTCGAGTCCCGCGTAAAAGTGCTTGAATGAGCAGCGCTGGAGGCTTTTGTCCGTCGCGTGAGCCTTCGAGCCACCGTGCGTCGTATTATAAATCCGTTTTCGCTTTAAACCGGGCAGAAATCAATCGCGATCCGTTGCACGGCAACTCTGCCCTGGTCATTAGGTGGAAATCTTGCCTTTGCCATGGTCGCGGACAGCCAAGAAAGATCTTAAAGAGACGTCACGTGGTCCCCAGATGTCCAATCAGAGGCACGTAAGGATGTTACACGGGTTCACTCTCACTCGACCAATCAGAGCAGGAGAACTTGTTTTATTCAGTGAGAGACATCAACCAGTGAATCCACACTGTAAATAAACCCTTAAGTATTTTAAAGCCCCATTTATTTTACTTCTTTATCTGTCTGTCTTTTGTTTTCTTTCTTTCTTTCTTTCTTTCTTTCTTTCTTTCTTTCTTTCTTTCTTTCTTTTTCTATCTATCTATCTATCTATCTATCTATCTATCTATCTATCTATCTATCTATCTATCTATCTATCTATCTATCTATCTATCTATCTATCTATCTATCTATCTATCTGTCTGTCTGTCTGTCTGTCTGTCTGTCTGTCTGTCTGTCTGTCTGTCTGTCTTTTGTTCAGTCTATCTATCTATCTATCTATCTATCTATCTATCTATCTATCTATCTATCTATCTATCTATCTATCTATCTATCTATCTATCTATCTATCTATCTATCTATCTATCTATCTGTCTGTCTGTCTGTCTGTCTGTCTGTCTGTCTGTCTGTCTGTCTGTCTGTCTGTCTGTCTGTCTGTCTGTCTTTTGTTCAGTCTATCTATCTATCTATCTATCTATCTATCTATCTATCTATCTA